GACAGAGAGAAACACAGAGACAAAGAGACAGAGGCAGGGAGAGACAGAGAGACAGAGGCAGAGAGAGAGAGAGAGCGACATATGGAAGGAGAGATGAAGAGAAAGAGACAGAAGGCCAGAGTGACAGAGACCAAGGGACAGTTCCACAGTCAGGGACAGGAAATCCTGCAAAGCCGGGCGGCCAGGCAGCCCCAGCCCAGCACTCCTGGGGCTGCGCTCTCTGGGTAGCTGGGCTTGGAAAACGGGCTGCCCCCCATGCATATCTATTAGGCCTGGGGGGTGGGGGTTGCTCAATTAACCCTCCCTCTCTCCCTCTCCTGTTTCTCCTCCCCCCTTCTCTTCCTCTTCTCTCCCTCCTCTTTCTCTTTCTATCTCTCTCTGTATTTCTGTAACTGTCTCTCTGTGTGTCTATCACTCTCTCCCTTTCTTTGGAACCACCAGTTAACTGTCCTCTCTCCTAGAATAAGCAACCTGTGTGTGCGTGGCACAGTCCCAGGCCATCCCCAGGCCTACTGTCTGTTCTACGGAAATGTCCACATACTATAATCAAGAAAAAAATTTTAAAACCTCCCCCATATTTCCCAAGTGTCTCTGCACCGTGAGCCTCAGTCTCCGCGAGGGAAACCCCGAGGCATTTCCTCAACACCTGCGGACGGAGGTGTTTTCCCCCCGCATCACAGTAAAAGCCAACCCAAAGCAAACCAATGCTGGAGGTCACTTTTTGCAAGCAGTGAAGAGTCATTTCTCTGAGGGTGGGTGGCCAAACGCTGCCCCACCCATGCCCGCCCACTCGCCTGCAGTCGCCAGTCTTGCCAGGCTCGCTTACGTTTTTCCTGGAGACTCCTTCAGCCAGAAGAGGTCATCACTGGTGATCCCATACTCCATAGCCCCTTCCACCTGCCAGGAATCAAAGAACCCACGTGAGGATCCCACCACTGGGGGTTTTGTGACTTTCTCAGAGAGAAAACACAGTTTTTCAGACACAGCGCCTGGCCCAGAGCAGGCACGGCTGGCTGAATGACCCCAAGCTGAACAGAAACACCAACTGGAGGGAAGCCGGCCTTTCCATTTCTCGTCTTGTCTGCCCCCCTCTTGGGCATTTCCTGCAGACTAGACACCCTTGAGGGAAGGGCCAGAGGTCTTCCCTCGATTGTCCCCTCTGCGTGCTCCTCGGGGCCCTAAGCAGCACCCTCCCAGGGCACATGGGTGGACGTGGGTGTAGGCTCCTCTTTTGCTTTCATGGTCTCCTGTGACCCTGGTTTATGGGGACCGGTAACAAAAGACCCCTTTCCCGCTACCTGTGCACCCCTCTTTCTCTCCTAATCTCCAAACGCCCATTTTGGGACACCTTTGAAAAAAGGGGCTTGTGGGTAGCAGCCCGGGACCACTGAGGAGTGAGGGTTCAGGAAGAACACCGCTCAGGCGGTATCGGGTCAGTGTGAGGGGTGGTCCTGGGTGCCAAGGCTCCTGTCTGGAGGGAAGAACCTGTGATTGCTGTGGTCTGGGAGGAGCCCCTCTGCCACTTCTGGGTCACAGAGAGCAGCTTGGTGAGCTGAGAGGTCAAGGTCACACAACCAGGACGGGTCAGCCACAGGATGTGAACTCGGACCTTTGGGCCCCACTCCGCCACACTGTCTCTCATTCTCTACCATGCTAGGCACCTGATACGAAAGAAGTGTCTGAACGCCCAAGAGACAACATCATCTCCAAAAGAGTGAGGGGCGGCCGAGAGCGCAGGTCAGGCTGAACTTGGAGCAGAGTGAATGATCATTTCATCCTTCAAAAGCCCCAGGAACAAGGGGAAATTCTACCGGTTCTCACAAACCAAGAAGTGGCCGCCACAACTGAAATGGGAAGCCTGAGAGGAGAAATCGAGGCACCATCTGGCAGGGACGCCAGGCTTGGGGAGAGAAGAGTGCCAGGGGTTCGAGGAAGGACATGCGGAATCCTACGGCCTAAAACTGATGCGTGGTGGCCTCTCACCCTGGCTGTGCCTGAGGCGTCTCCAACTCACCCTGTGTCCACCAGAACCCCTTGGTGCCGTGGCCCCTTACCCCGGCTCCGGTCACTCGGGTGCACAGCCCGGCATCGGCCGCCGCTCCTCACAAAGCCAGTCCGTGGACAAATCTTGCTCAGTCTCCCTCCACGGCACCTAGGCTGCATGCTGCCTTCTCTCCCCTCACACCCGGCTTGGGCCTCGTCAAACCTTCCTGGACTACCACCACAGCCTCTCACGGGTCACTGATCTGTACACCAGGCCGGCCTCCTCTCAGCCGCCAAAGGAATCTTCCTAAAGCGTAGGCCTGACCGCAGCATACTGCATGCACCTCCCCCCACCTTCCCCAGAGTTCAATCTAAAACCCCTTGGAGCACCCAAAGCTCTCTCCGCCCCTGTGATGCACAGCTCCCAGGCTCCTTCGAGCCTTGGCTGAAAGCCCACGTCCTACAGGCCTGTCCTGGTCCCCATGGCTGCTACGAACTTCCCTTCCGACGTGACCTTCTGTCTACTCTGAATACAGGGCCTGGTTATTTACATGTTGTCTCTCCCATCAGAAAGTGAGTAGGGATTGTTTCATACACGGCTTGGAATTCTGTAGGTGCTTAATAAGGGTTCTAGGGGAAATCAGCCTAGGAGGGACAGGAAACTCCCAAGAATGAAATTAAAAAGAAACAATTCTGATGAGGAGGAAAAAGGAGGCCTCAGGAAAGTGGACCCATGTGGATGTGCAGGCAGCTCCCCATCCAGGCCGAGGGCAAGGAATGGAGGATGAACACAAGAGCCCAGTGTGGTCCTGGAGTCAAAGGGCTGCCGGGCTGAGGCCTTGAAAGCCGGCACGATAAAGGGGGCTGTGGCGAGCTTTACCGAGTGACTGAGGAGGAATGACGGGGTTGACCCACAAGCAGGCCCACGGCCCCTGGGCACAGGGAGAAACCCAGCTGCTCAACACGGATTCTGCTTCTTTTCCTCAGCCCAGGACAACGGGCTGGAAGGAATGGAACAAAGATGGCGGACGGGGGCCAACATCCCGGAGAAGGCAGGAGGGGATGAGAGGGCCCTGGCGGCCCTTGGCGAGCTCCAGGCACCGTGTCCGGGTGAATCCCATGCCTGGGCACAGAGAGCTGGCCGTGTGACTGCTGAGTCGGGAAAGATCACGGAGAGAGAACTGGAAGAGGGTGAATAAGTGGGAAAAGAAGGGGTCTGCCAACCCTCGGCCAGAGACCCGGACCACGTTCTAGAAAGGAGCGTTAAGGAGACGCTGAGTGAAGATAAGATCACGAGCAGGGAGGCGGCTCCCGCCTTCTCTGCTGCAGCCATGACCCTCTCCTGCTTGTCTTGTTCTGGTGCACTCCGTTACAAGGGCTGGCGGGAGGTCCAGAAGTGAAGGTGACCAAAACCAGGGGGCAGATGAGGGGGCTGGGAAGAGGGGGAGGGGGGAGGAGGGGGGGAGGGGGGAGGGGAGGGGAGGAGGGGGGGGCCCCACCACAACAGAACTGAATACACCGCCCATGTGAGGGAGGAGAACGTGGCTGGGGAATCTGGAAAGGAGCCCAAAGCAGGCAAAGCCCCAGAGAGGAGAGAGATCCCAGGAGGAAAGCGTGGTGGGCAGTGTCCAAGGCTGCAGAGACTGAGAAGGACGAGGAAGGAGGCAAGGCCACGAAGAGAGCCCCAGAAGCTCGGGAAAGGGTGCTTTCTGACTGCAGGGCTAAGCAGTGAGAGGAGGGGAAAAGCGCCAGCTCGGGCCCCACCCCCAGTGATTGTTCAGATCGGAGCTCGACCACTGAGAAGGACGTGAATAAGCCAGAGAAGGTCTAGAGGGAAAAACAAGAATGAAGGGCCTGGGGATGAGTCTGGCCCAGAGAGGCTGGAGGAAGGCGCTAGTGAGCTGTCTTCATGTGCCTGAAGGGCCATCGGGTGGGAGGAAGTTGTTTAGGACCAAAGGACAGAGCCAGGAGAAGCAGCGAGGACGGGATGGAGACGGGGGCGCATTCCAAGGAGGCCGACGCGGGCTTGACATCAGCAAAGTCTTCCTAACAAGGAAAACTCCCCAAGGGGAAGGGGATGCTGTGACAGGTAGTGAGCTCCCCATCACTGGAGGTCTTCAGAAAATCCTGGATGACCGACCAGAAGCATTGTGGGGGGGAATTCCTCTGGTGGTCAGGGTGGCTGACCACTTAGTGGCCATCAGGACACTAAGGTCCCTCCCAACTTGGAAATCATGAGACACTAAGTTGGTAAGAGACTGGATGTAGGTCGGATGTCCAGAGAAACTTCCTAACAAGGAGTTGCCCAAAGGGGAATGGCATGCCACGGCAGGTAGGAAGCTCCCCATCCCAGGGCATCCCAGCATCGGCTGGATGACTCCTTGTTGGGCGTGACGTACGGTGGATCCCTGGGCAGGTACAGCTCGGACGAGAGGCCTCTGAGGTGCTGTGACATCCCAGGTCAGACGTCCAGGAGGCAATGCCCCAGCGCTAACCAGCCGTGCCCTCCCCGCCCCCCGCCCCCAGCACAGGGGCTGCCCACGCTGAAGGGAGTTGGCACAAAGGTGAGGCGAGGACAAGGTCACCAAGTAACCAGTAGAAAGCACTCACGTCATCAGGGTACCTGGGCCTCCCTCCTGTGGCGAGGACGATGTAATCGGCGGTCACCAGGGTCTGGAAACAAAAGCAGAGCTCGGGTGAGCGAAGTCACCAACGCTCTGTGCGCCCAGCGCCAGGGCCGCCACAGCAAAGTGGGAGGGAGGCAAGGCGGCTCTGCCTGGGCACAGAACCAGCTGGGAGGAAGCAGGGGCCTCATCACCCCAACCCACAGCATCGCAGGCTCCCTAACTCAGCCACCGGGCAGGGCCGTGGTCAGACCACTCCTGGAGTGGTCTAGGAGTCAGGAAGCCCCAAGTTCAAATGTGGCTTCAGACACTTTCTAGCTGTGTCACCTAGCACAAGTCCCTTCACCTCTGCCTGCCTCAGTTTCCCCATCCGTACATGGGAATCATAACAGCACCCTCCCAGAAGACTATGAGGCCCAGGCTTACAGGGCCCTAACAATTCGCGCCCTCTGCGATCAGCAACTCACCTCTTTTCCTGCTTTGGTGAAACCCCGCACCGTGTGGTCATCCACAAAACTGCCTTGGATATTAAAATATTTGACATTCCTGAAAAACAAAAAGGAGCCTTTATGTTCCGCAATTCAACAAAAAATAGGTGAAGCCGCTACTATTTACCAGGTGCTGGGGAGACAAAGGCAGAAGTGGCAGGCTTGCCCTCAAGGAGCTTACTGTCGCCCTTCTCTGAGAGGCGCAGGAGGCGATGACAGCACATGCACAGGGAGCCATCGCGCCAGGAGACCGCCCCCCCCCCAAAGGCTCGAGACAAACCAGGAGAAGGAGGGGCTACTTCAGGGCTCGACTCAGGGCCGCCCCTTCTCCAAAGCCTAAACCCCCACCCCCAGCCCCTAAGGAAAGAGAACAATCTTTTTCTTCCCAGATAATTTTAAAAACTAACATTGGAAATGGTCAAAGGATATGAACAGGCAGTTCTCAGATGAAGAAATTAAAGCCATTCATAGTCATATGAAAAAATGCTCTAAATCACTATTGATTAGAGAAATGCAAATCAAAACAACTCTGAGGTACCACCTCACACCTATCAGATTGGCCAACATGACAAAACAGGAAAATGATAAAAGTTGGAGAAGATGTGGGAAAATTGAAACACTGATACATTGTTGGTGGAGTTGTGAACTGATCCAACCATTCTGGAGAGCAATTTGGAACTATGCCCAAAGGACTATAAAAATGTGCATACCCTTTGACCCAGCAGTAGCACTTCTAGGGCTGTATCCCAAAGAGATCACACAAATGGGAAAAGGACCCATATGTACAAAAATATTTACAGCAGCTCTTTTTGTGACGGCAAAGAATTGGAAATTGAAGGGATGCCCATCAACTGGGGAATGGCTGAACAAGTTGTGGTATATGAATGTGATGGAATACTATTGTGCTATAAGAAATGATGAGCAGGCAGACTTCAGAAAAACCTGGAAAGACTTGCATGTACTTATGCTGAGTGAAATGAGCAGAACCAGGACAATGTTGTACATAGTAACAGCCATGTTGTGTGACGACTAATATTGATAAACTTAACCCTTTGCAGCAACACAAGGATCTAAGACATCTCCAGAGGCCTCGTGATGGAAAATGCTCTCCACATCCAAAGAAAGAATGATGGAGTTTGGAAGCAGATCGAAGCATACTATTTGCTCTTTTTTCTCTCCTGTTTTGTTTTGTTTCCTCTTTCTTGTGGTTCCTCCTATTGGCTCTAATCCTTCTTCACAACATAACTAATGTGAAAACATGCTTAATAGGAATGTGTAAGTAGAGCCTATATCGGATTACACGCCGTCTTGTGGAGGGAAGAGGAGAAATTTGAAACTCAAAATCTTATGGAAGTGAATGTTGAAAACTAAAAATAAACAAATAAATTGTTCAATAAAAAACAAAACAAAACATGTATATATAACATAAAACTAGCATCGGTCGCCTTTACCGCTCACCAAGCTCCATAGAGAAAAGCCAGAATATTTCTACTGTGAAAACAACTTCTCCTGCACTCAGACTCTGGGGCCATTCTTGTCCTGGAGAAGGGACATTTGATTGGGGAGGGGAGATAACTGAGGAAAGGACGGGAATGGGGCATGACCCAAGAGGGAGGCCAGCAGAAACCTGCCCTGCTGCGACAAGGGCTGTCCTGGGAAGCCCAGCCACCCCGGTCAGTCTAGTGCGGGCCTGACTCTGGGGCCTCATGGGCCAGCCCCTCAGACTCATCCTCCATCTGATCAGCCTCTGCATCTGCTCAGCTCTCCCTCCTCTCCCACAGCTTCCACATCTGCCCGCCTCTCTCTACCCACATGCTTCATCACCTCCTGTCTTCTCACTAACACCCCGCTTCCAGGCTCTCCCTTCCTTAACACATCCTCCACAGAGCTGCCGGAACCTTCCCAGGCACACGTCTGAACGTCTCACTCCCTGCTCTCCTCAACAATCTTCAGTGGCTCCCTATTTCCCCCAAGATATGATCAATCAGTGCCGCCAATTACCAACCATGTGTCAGAGAATGTGTGAGGCCCTGGGAACGTGAAGAAAGCAGTAATCACCCCCACCAAGGAGCTCACGCCCTGGGGCAAACGGGAAGCAAGCATGTACAAAATAGCTTGTAAAATGTGAGGCCACAGGGTTGGGGGGGAGGGGCAGAGAAATCCAGAAAGGCCTCCCAGAGGAGGTGACGTCTGAAACGAACTCTGTGGGAAAGAAGGGAGTCTAAAATACAAACTCCTGAGTCCTAGCCACACCTGCCCTTCCATCATGCCACATCGCTCCCTCCCACACACTCGCCATTCGAAGGGTCCCACCTTGGCGCTTTTGCGCTGGCCGCTCCCCTCCCCTGCTCACACACACGGCAGCGCCTCCTTCCAAACCTCCCCCTTGTCAAACCCTCAGCCTCCTTCCTTCAGGCCAGCTTCACTTCCCTGCCCCGGTTATCTGGCATTTGTGTGGAAATGTTGGGTCCCCTCAGTGCAACAGAAGGGCCTTGAGGGCAGGGATTGGGGAGGGCTTGGCACGTCCCCCACATCCAGCATAGGACCCTGCACAAAACAAGGAGGGGGTAAGGAAGGAAGGAGGGGAGGAGGGAAGGAAGGAGGGGCAGGAAGGGAGGGAGGAAGGGAAGGAAAACCAGGAACAGGTGCTGAGATGAAGGTGAAGCCACCAGACGGAGAAGGGGGCACAAGGAGCCTTCTCTCCCCACCCCCCCCGCCCACCATCTTCCCTGGGAAGTGGAGCCAGAAGGAGCAGAAGGCCAGGTGCTGCTTCGGAGCTGGTGAAAAAGCCCGGCCCACGCCTGGAGGGCTGGCCTTCCTCAGCCACTCAGCCCGCGAGAGAAGTCCCGGTGTGTGGCTGACGCCCATGTGAGCCCTTTCCTGCGGCCGTCCCCTGGCTGTGAGGCCTGCTGTGAGGCCTGCGGGAGGCAGCCCCGGCCCAGAGTCAGTGATAACACCACCACCTCCTGCTCCTGGAGCCTGTAAGGTCTGCAGAGTGCCTCACACACATTCTCTAAGCTGAGCCTCGCTGACAACTCTGGGATGCAGGTTATCCCCACTCTACAGAGGAGCAGACTGAGGCTGACAGAGGCGAATGACTCGCCCTGGGCCCCGGGGGCAGCTGGGTTCCTGCATTCACACAGAGCTTGTCCCCCGCCTCTGTTACTCAGAGTCTGCCGGACTTTCACACAGATCCCGCAGTCCGCCGGGCACAATAAGGGAGCCCCATCTCCGAGGCTGATTTTATTCTAGAGCGGTGCAAAACAAGCAGCTGAAGAATGGGGGTGGGGATGGGTCTGTCCCTTCCCTTCCCCCCCTTGGGGCCTGGGGCAGCTGCGTAAGCCCGGCAAACCTCGGCCTTCTCACCTGCAATGGGCACGATTCTGCCCAGGCCCGGGAGGGCACCCAGGCAGACAGCCCCACCTGGGCCGCCTTCCAAGGTTCACGGCAAGTGGTGACAAGGCCCAGGAAGTGGCCTGAGGCTGGCGTGTGGCAGGCTGAGGAGCTGGGTTCCAGTCCTGCCTTTCAGACTCCCCTGGGACCTTGGCCAAGTTGCTTCCCTGCACATCAGCTATGAGCTGAGTGTGGGACCCCAACCCTGTGTCTGCCACCCCTGTGCACCTGGCATCTGTCCCTGCCTTCCAGTTCAGCTTGGGGGCCAGACAGGGAGAAGCAGTGATCTCCCCTCCACAGGGCTGGGTACCCAGCAGGAAGCCAAGGGCCTGGCCTGGGCCCCAGCCCACAGGATGAGAGGAGGGAGAGGGTGGTCAGAGAGGCCCAGAGACAGGAGGTTTCCTGGCAGCCGCAGAGCAGAAAAAAAACAAGTGTGTGCATGCCTGTACGTGCACGTGTGTGTGTGTGTGTGCGTGCACATGGGGGGGGTCATATGGGATGACACAGGCCTACGCAGCACTAGCAGTGACCGATCCACACGCTGGCCAACGTCAGGCCCACAACTCCACACCCGTGCACACCTACCGCTCCTGCAGCTGCACCCGGTGGCCCCAGTTCAGTGACTTGACGTGGTTTTGAACCGCTGTGGCCATCTGCTGCCTGGTGGAGAAGGGAAAGGAGACAGTCAGGTCCAGCAGTGGCAATCAATCAGCATTTATTAAGCGCCTACTGTGTGTTGCGGGTCGCTGGCCCTCTGGCTGCCAGCACAGACCTGCGTCTAAGACGATGGTCACATCCCGCAGCTTCCTCCTGTCTGCCTATAAGAGCCGAGCAGGTCCCCTTGTGGGGTCACGGACACGCCACCCACAGACCCACAAGCCGGGGGGTGCAGGTTTTACAGCCCTGCCTCGGGCCTCTGGTGCCAGGCATGTTGGGGAAAGTACAGGGAGGCTGTTCTGCTCCAGGAAAAACGGGATGCTTTCCTTGGCTTTGAGCCCCACTGAATCCCTGCTGGACCAGCAGAACGAATGAGCGTCAGACACCCCCTGAGCTTGAGTCTGCACCCAAGAGCGGTCTGCGGCCATGTGGGCCCAGGACCCTCTGGCCTAAGGGCTCCCTCAGGGTCCCACATCATGAAACCACCTGGCTGGTCACACATGCCACAGACAATTAAGCTGCCCTGTTTGTTGATCAACTAACTGATGACTCCATCCAGCAGCTGTGGTTGGCGCAGCTGTATAAGAGTCAAATTCTCTCCCAATGGCCAGAGGGGGCTTGGGGAAGGCTGGAGCCAGTGGGCCCTGGACACGTGCCACCCTGCAGGGGTGAGACTCCGTGAAGCCCACGTCCAGGAATGCAGGCGGCAGCGGAGAGGAAGCCTCCTCTGGCCCTTACCAGTTATGTGGCGCCGAGGGGGCTACGTCCCAGCCGTAGTGGTGGGCGTCTTCGAGGGCGCCTCCCAGAAGAGCCGCATGATGCATGAGCTTCTTGGGGATACAGCCCACGTTCACGCACGTGCCCCCCAGGCCCCAGCTGGTGCCTGAAAATGAAGAGGCAACATCCTCCTTATTACCATTATTACAACACAGAGACAGGCCTGAAGAATCCAACCCTCGCTTCCACCCTGCGGCATCTGTCAATCTCCTTGCCCTTCGAAGATGGAGGAGGTCTTAGCGTGTAGAGACAACGCAGCGCTCTCCACCACGACTCCCTGAGGCCCCTGCCACGCTCCGCCCCCACACGGGGGCTCTTAGCAGATGAGTCGCACTCGGGACAACTGGACCATTCCCACAGACAACTCGAATGGCGCAGCATGCAATTCACCAGCATGCCTACTGCATGCACCAAGCACTCTGTGAGGAGCCAGGAGAGAGGACGCTCCCACCACTCACGTCCCTGCTCGCATGGGACCCAGAGATCCAATCATGGATGGCTCATGAGGATCTGGCTCTACGGGACCATGGCAGAGAGGTGGAGAGGAAAGGAGGGCCCCAGTGGAGGGCAGCAGGGAGCGGCAGGTGCTCCAAGGGTCAGCAGGAGGTTGGGCACAGGGAACAGGCCAGACCAGGGCCCAGGGGCGCAGACACGGCAGGCCGCCAGCCCGGAGGGCCTCGAATGTCAGGCCTCGATGCTCCCGGGTGGCCCTGGGGGGTCTGAGGTTCTGGAGCAGGGCAAGCCCACGACCAGACCCGCCAGGCAGCCAGGCGGCTGCGGGGACTTGTGTTTGAGGTTTCCGATGAAAAGGAATGTAAACCACATGGCAGCTCTGGGTCCTCTCTAGATGGTTCTCATCACGGAAGGACAGGAAAAATGACCGGTGCCACAGCGTGGCACTTGCAGGGATTCCTCCTCGTTGGCTACCTGAGTCCCTTCCCCGAGCAGAAGCCCCTCCTTTTCAACAGGCCCGGGCTGCACGCACCCACACACCTCACTGGAGGTCTAACGTCAAGCTCAACGCCTCCCCCTACACCTGCCCTTCCTGCGCCTGGCCCGGCCGCCCTCACGGCTCATATCCAGCCCGGTGTGAGCCTTCGTTACCCTAGCCGGACTATCGCCCTGGCGTCCGACCCAGCCCCCCGTCAGTGTGAAATTCCCCATTCCCTGCCTGGTGGAGCCAAGGGCAACCCTGAAAGTGGAGAGAACGCCCGGTGTGGACGCTGGACATGGCCCCGAGTCCAACACAGAATCTGGGGCCTCTGTGCTCTGGGGGCTGCTCTATAGGAAGCCCCCTCCAATGCTGCCATCGCCCTTAGCACAGAGACCTTTACAGGGCAGACAGCGGCGGGCTCCCTCTTACCTCTGGGAGAAGGAACCACGTAGTCCATGATAGCCACCTTCTTTCCATGGTCAGCAGCTTTGAAGTTTGAGAAAAAGAGAGATGGGGGGGGGAGAGGAAAAGAGGAAAAGGGGAGAGAGGAGAGAGAGAGGGAGGGAGAAAACAGAGAGAAAAGAGGGAGGGAGAGAGGGAGGGAAGGAGCGCAAAGAGGAAAAGTGGGGAGGGGAGAGAGAGAGGGAGGGAGAGAGAAAAGAGGGATGAGAGAGGGAGGGAAAGAGGGCAAAGAGGAGAGGAAAGAAGGGAGAGGAGGAAAAGAGGAAAG